GACATATATAAATGAATATAAAAATAAAAAGAACCCAAAGTAAAACAATAAATCATGGAAATGAAATTATTTTAATATAAAGCTAGAAAACAGACAGTATGATGTCACACACGGTCAGTTTCCCCTACCAGAAATGGTAAGGGGGTAGGGAGATAGACAAGACATGACAAGTCTGTACTTCAGGCCAGAAGAAAGAACAACAATGAAGAAGTATCTTCAATTTATTAGTGCTTATTCTTCTTCTAGGTAGGAAACCGAGCAGCAGTACTCTACACCTAATGATGTATAGCTTGGCTAGAACACATGGCAAGTAGCTGGCACAACTGAGTTAAAGGAAATGATGCAAAGTCATGGATGGGAGCTGCAGAGTTAACAAGGAGATGGAAGAAAGATGTGAAGATCTGCATGAGAAATGAAAAGGCTCAGAGTTCAAGAACCCTGTATAGCTGTAAGGACTGCAAGGAAACATGACATGCCACACAAGGAAGCAGTCTTGCAGTGGTGATGAAAGCAGCTTTTCTTACCCACAGAAATTCTTTTTTTGTTAGTGTTTCCAATATGGTTCACCCATATGCATGCCACTACGATGTGAATTATCGAGTGGTTGTCAGTAATCCAGGTACTTTTTTAATTGGAAAGCACTTCCAACTTTCCTCAACGAGTGCCTTCATTTTTCCACACCAAAGCTGTTCCAAAGCACATCCTACGGTTGGGTAATGGTGCCGTACCTGCGTGTTACAGCTCACTCCTACCAACTCCCATGAAGTAATCCAGAAGGCATTCAAACATCACTGTTAAAATAGGCAAAGATATTTAGTAGGTGAGGAGGATTAATGATCTTCTCTCCAAGATGAAAAAGTATGCAGTGTGAATGCATACATGTAAGTAATCTGGTTCTATGTGTGCTAAATTTACCCTCGCCTCATTCAGCACAACAAAGACTTGCACTTTGACTTTAAATTCACTTGAGAAGACATTGATCTCCTTGCCCTGTTTTCTACATCCTACTACGCAGCTTGACAATCAGTCCTTTTATTTCTTCCAATGGAAAACAGAACTCTAATATATTGGGTTAGGTTCACCAGAGGACACAGAATGACTCCATAATCTAGAACGATTACACTGCTTTCATGAATATAATCTAATTATAGCATAAGAGTATTTGCCATTTTGGTTCATCAGTAAAAATTATTACAATTTTGTATATATAAGACACTTGAGGTTGTACAGTAATTTTTTAAACTGCAGTTTATTCCTTTATTCTTTGACTATTTTATTGGTATATATTTCATAGGACCCTTAGTTTCTCATAAGCTACAACAGATCAGAAGAAAATGAGACTTTAATGATTAAAAGCATTCAGAATTGGATACAAAATTTAATACTTAAGTTTAAAAAAAGCATTTCATATGCCCACAATTTCATCCTGCCTAGTCGTGTGCTATTATCACATGCATCTCGGTGATGTGACCATAAACTGAAAAGGTTAACAGCAGCACCACAGAGCTTTTTCAATCAATCCTTTTACTTGCACTGTACCCCTACCACAAAAATGATTAAAGTGAAGTAGTTGTGATGTGTAATGGAAACGATGTTGTTCACATGTTGTGAATTACATGAGAGAAACAACTTATGCAAGATTCATTTACTTCATTCAAAATGTCCTCTCAGACCACAAACAGCTGATGAAATAACAGAGAAAAAATACTATTCTTTAATCTTTGCACAGAAAGTAAGCTTATTTACAGCCTGCATTTCATTTTCATAACAAAGCTTCTTGTAATACATGTGTTACTTGTTTAGTTGTCCTTGTAAAATATGTAAAATCCCAACTCATCCCAGAAAAGACAGAGTACTTCTACTCAACACAGTGACAGGTTCAAAAAGCATCAAAAGCAGTACTACCACACTAATGGCCACGTTGACTACACTGCTCACCTCTTTGATAGGTTAAATTAACCCAGGCAAACCGCCAAACTCACATACCTAAACTGCATTTCCTACTGAAGATTACCTCAAAGTCTCATAGGCCTCTCTTCAGGTAAGCAGATATAAGAAGGAATATTTATGTATCTGAATGGGGCCACATAGGAGAGAATCTAGGAGTGCGTATGCAACTCCTTCTAAAATCTGTAAAGGAGGGAATAAAGAAGAACAGCGTAAATAATAGGCAAATCTTTCCTGACTGATCCTATCTATAGAATTAGATGCTGATCGTACCGTCCAGAAGCCAGCACACGTGTGGCCAACACAAGTGTGTTCTGCCTCGCCTCACAAGGGCAGAAGGGCAGACAGCCCTCAGCAGCACCTCCTCCTTTCCTCCACCTGCCAGACCCTCACTCATTTTGGAAATCCAGCACACTAAAGGACAAGACAGAAGAAATCAGGTTGGATATTAAGAAAAATTTATTCTCAGAAAGACAGGTGAGGCAGTGAAGTCACTGCCCTGAAGGTGTTCAAGAAACGTGTAGATGTGGCAGTGAGGGACACGGTTCAGTGGGCATGCTGCAGTTAGGCCAATGGCTGCACTTGGTCATCTTAACTGTTTTTCCAACCTTAATGATTCTGTGATTCCATGAAATGCAGCAATCTCTGCATTGCTACCCTGTGCCCTGCTGTACAGCTCTGCCCTATGATGTGACAGAGATCTCCCATTAAATAGCAGCTTTGTTTCACTGAAAGAATTAGTGCTTCCCAAGTCCAACAAGGAAATGCAAGACAGAGGCATGCATAAAAATTGTGCTACCTTCCTTCTAATACTTCCCCTCATCCCACACTGTTTATCCGAGTTTCTTTCATATTCATGCCTCTTTTGCCTTCCTCCACTTTTAGTAATAAGCAAACCTCAGATCAGTAAACCAAAATATCATGGAGAAGAGATAACGAGCTCCAGAATTTCCATTCCCAGCAAGCCAAAATTCCTGGTCTCGCCCTTCCTGTAGCAAATGAGATTCTTGCTGGAGGATGTCCTGCTTCAAAATCAGGTGGCTTTGTTGAGGTTTCATCTCAACTCTCTTCCAAATAGAATCAAATTTCAAGACAGGCTACACTAAACAACAAACTGCCAACTTCCCTGATTTATGTTCAATAATCCTCCTCCCTGCTTTTCTCGAGGCTTGGTTTTTACATATAGCCAAGAGGAAAAATCCTGCTCATCATCAACAACAGGGAAGCAAGAAGGATGTATGCCTACCACAGGTATGTGTTATTTTGCAAGCTTCTGTAAAGAGCACCCTATCTATTACTACCAACAACACTCTCCCTTTCACCTCAAAGAAATAAAAGAAAGAAAACAGCAAACAACAACATACTGAACAGGGGCAGTACAGCATGCACATCAGAGAAAGGACATCTCAGGTCTTCAGGTGCCTTACCGCCACAAACTCTTTGAAACATCCCTGAAAAAACTGTACTCAGAGCAGGCAGCCATCAGTGCAAACAGATCTGCTTAGAAGTCCCCTGTTTGGGGGAGAATTTAGAAAAGGGATGCACTGTCCTCATGTGCATAGAGATGATCATATAATAAAACGATATTGTATCATTTGAAAAAGTGAACCAAATCACCAGCAAGAGCGCTATATAACAAATAAAACAGAAAGACCATTCCCACACAGGAAAAGGGAAAAGCATGGTAATTTTCTCATTACATAATGACTTTGATAAGCAAAGAATTCCAAAAGCACAGAAAGTTGAGAGTAGCCATGCTGTGCTTGTTCATACCGGCCGGATCCAAACCCACTGAAGTCTCCAGGGGTTTTCCGTCGGCTCTAGCAGATGTTGGATCGAGCTGTCTCAGCTCCCCATTAGAAGCTGATGTGGACACAGTTCAATCCTCTCTCTTCTAGCAGAGTCGTCAAACACTTAAATTCCGCTGGGACCATTGTGTGGTGGAGACTTGAGTTTCACAATGGGTCTGTCAGGACCAGGTTGTTCCATCACTAATAGCACATAACAACCGAGAGCACAACCTCACCCAAAGGTCATCGACCGACAGAAAGCTGCGCCTGACTAAAGGGTCCGGCACTGATAGGAAGGGTGATGTGAGCCGGTTAGCAGGGAAAAAAAAGCCCGGGGAGGAAGGAAGTAGGCATATCCAGTTTCACAGAACGTTTGTTGTTGTCCCTCAACAGCTGTTTTGTGTGAAAACGAAAGGCTGTACTCTACAGTGACTTAGTGCAGCTCCTTCTCACCATCAGGTCACTTTTTAAGCGGCTACACATTTATGCATCCATTCTGCACAATAAGAGACAGAGCTCACACCACCCGTTGTATAGCAGTACTAACTAATAGGATTGCATCGATCGTAGCAAAGTCTCCTGAAAATTACCTCTTTGCCACAGAACAAGCCGCTGCTCTGTTTTTTCCCCTCAAATGTTTGTCTATTCAGAAGCTGGTGTGGGAAAGCAGGAACCAAAGAATCGAGTAAATTGCCTCAACAGACAAGCAGTACCGATACGTAAAAGGAAAACAAATCGCCTTATGAAAAGATGCAGCCTATCGATTATGCAGACACGTCTTTTTGACAATCCAGCGCTGCAGCCACGAGCCCAGCACGCTGCCTGGGCTGGCAGATGGCTCCGCTCGGATGTACGAGCCCTGAGCTCTGCGGCCGGAGCGGGGCGCAGACATTGCGGCTCTCCCCGAGATGAGCCGAGTCGAGCCGAGCCGAGCCGAGTCGCCCCGCTGCCGGCAGCGCTCGCAGCGCAGGTGCTGCTGCTCCGCCGCCGCCGCCCTCCCCGCACCGCGGCTCTCCTCCGCCCGCTCCGCGCGCCCACCGCAGCCCGCGCCTTCCCCTCTCCTCCCCTCCCGCCCGTGGTTAACAATTAACGCGTCAGGCACTGCGCTGCGCGGGCGCCCGTTTGATGTTACGTTAGAAAGTCAAACGCAACTTCGGCAGATGAACTTCGGGAGCGAAGCGCGCCGCCGCCAACCCCCGCGCAGGAGCAGCGCACCGCGCCGGCCCCGACCCCGCCCGCCGCCCCCGCCGCCCGACGGGCGCTGCCGGACGGGCATCGGGGGCCGCCCGACGCGGCGCGGGTAAGAGCTGCCGGGCGGCGACTCACCGGGCGCGGAGCCTCCCGCCGCTCCCCGCCGCCAGCCGCCGTCTGCCTGCGGACGTGACCCGGATTCCCCCCCACCCGCGCCGCCTCCCGCGGGGCCGCGCACCACCGCGCTGCGCCCCCCGGCC